TCAAATTGATTTAAATCAGGCAGAAAGCTTTCATCAATTTAAATTTTATTTTGCATTGAACTTTTAAAAATCAGGTCCAGTTACAGCAGGTTGAGGGGCCTGTCCATTGAATTTTGAATATCTCTAAGTGTAGAGATCCTGCAACTTCTTGGGGCAACCTGTTCTAGGGCTTAACCACTCTCATGGTTTAAAAAAACCTCAAACACCACAACACAAAATAACAAAAACCAACCTAACTCATTTTTTCTAGTCACATTTTCCTGTGTTCCTGTTTGCCTCTTGTCCCACTGCTTGTGCATCTTCAAGAACAGTCTGGCTCACTCTTCTCAACCCATCCATTAAATAGTTGAGGACAGTAATAAGATCTCCCCATTGTCTTCTCTGTAATGGCTGAATAAATTCAGTCCTCTTAGCCTCTCCTTGTAATATCACATGCTTCAGCCCTCTGCTCATCTTGGTGGTCCCTTCCACTGGACTTCTTCCTCCATCTTCAACTGAAAGGATACTTACTAAAAGCTTATGTGTTGCATAAAGTGGTACCAACTGTGGGAGCAAGGGGCTGTGTGAAGGGGAGTGTGGCACTGAACTTGGGGAAGTGACTGCACTGTGAAGGGTTGCCCGTTAGGTCATCTAGCAGCCTTTGGGTAGGATGAACTCCCTTGTCCAGTGTGGAGGCATTCCAGGGCAGCTTCTCTGACTAGGTTTTTCTAGATAGTCCACAAAGAGGGTTTAACATTTGATCTAAAATTTAATGTTTTGAAGATATTTGGTGCTACATATTGCTATGTTTTGATTTAGCAGAGTGATACAGCAATATACTGAGGTCACAACACAAGCAAGATAAAGAAATTGCAATATACTTTTGGATCACCATGTAAGAGTGATTCTCATTATTGGTCTCTATATGCCCACTGTTAGGATGTTGGGCATCCCCAGTTCATCAGGAGGGAATAGGTGGGCTAAAGCCACCTCAAGCCTGTTGCTCTTCTCAGAGCTCTTTCTGTTGGTTGTTTGGTTTTTATACTTTGTGTTGGGCTGAACCACATATACGTCTCCCTCCACTGCTCTGGCTAGCTGGAGAAGACATTGCGCTCTACTAGTTATCTGAGGGAAGTCTGTTTACACAACCTGCCAACTCACTGGTACAGCCATATATCTAAAACAAAGGTTACCTTCCAGCCTCCATGGTGTTGAGATAAGTTCAGTTTTCTTTATGCCACTTGGTGCTCATTCCTTACACTTCTTCCCTGAGTTCATCACCCTTGCCCATCTCCTCTGAGCCTTCTTCCATTGTAGGGGTTTGTTTGTTGCTGACACAGGCTGAGACTGTTGTAAACATGTTTCTTGTGAACGGATGAATCACATGTAAATGGAGAGATTTCTGCCTGTACTGGCTGCTCATTGCTCCAGAGCTCAGTATGTGTATGTTTTGGTCACGTGAGGTAAATATGTCCAGCTGCACAAGGGTGAACAGAGTTATGATGCTGTCTGGAAAAAGAGGGAGAAAAGCTATGGGCAACATCAGTACCCTCAGCCCTCAACATATTCCTGGCATGTATCTGAAGGGCCACAAAAGAGGGCAACAGCCTCAGATATGTGTTGATATCCAGTTATTTTGAAGGGCTTGAATCTACTCCAGTGAAAACAGGGACCCAAGGTTAGGGCCTTAAGTGGATCCCTCCTGACTATGCAAGTGACCCTGCAGGTGGGTTTTGAAACAAGTGCTTGTACCTGGTCACAATCCTTTTTGTCTCAGTGGGGTTAGAAAGGTGTATTTGGCATGGCAGGTACACACAACTTTGGAAATAGGAGTGTCACTGCAGGAAGGAGAACCAGGATAAGATAACCAGGGAATAGACTTCAAAGACTTGTAAGGGTTAAACAGTCTGCTCTAGGAAATCTAGCAGTCATTCCAAGATTCATCACCACAACTTTGACACAAAAAAAGAGAATATGTAATTTCTTACTTGCCATCTGTAATAATAATCTGTTCAGTTTCTTTGATTATCAAAACAACCACCGCTGTGATGAGGATGCATTTTCATAGAATAAGCAATTGGAGATGATTTTTTTTTTTCCTGCGTTTCTTGAAGTACAAAGCAGTATGCATGTTAAAGTATTTTTGATCTTTAAAGGAAAGTTATGATACCCTCTACTGGTTGTTTTTGGAATCTGAGCTATAGCCTACCAGTTTAGAGTCAGCACCAGTTAAACTTAATCTGTACTGCATTTTTAATATAGTCTTTTTTTTTTTTTTATATGGGTTTGAGAGGGATTTGGGTTGTTTTGGTCTTTTTTCCCTATGTAGTTTGTCCCTAGCTTCAGCAGAGTGAATCTGCCTGTGATGAAACTATATTTTTAAATGCAGGTTGTTACAGTTTCCAGGCTCACAGTTCTATAGGTACAAATGAAAATAACTAGATGTTATCACAGCTCTCGTTGCCTAGTAACCAAAGTGCAATGTATAATTTCAATGGGATAAATTTGATGCACTTTGCCTTTCTTTTCCTTTTTAGTAGAGAATACACGTAAATATATTTAGACTTAAATGTCTTACCGTCAGATAACTAAAATGTATTGAAATAACTTTACAAACTCAGTTGCAATGTTTTAAGAACTGATGTAAATTTCCCATAATGAGGAGTGATCTTCTTATAACATTGCTTTACTGTTCATATGAGTGAGCAAGCATCTCCATGTGACTGCATACAAATCTTAAATTCTTTTCTTCATATCATTCTCAAATCTTACCTTTCCATTTTGTTTATTGATTTGATGGTCATTTTACGTATTTTTCTACCGAATCTATTTAAGCAGTCAAGGACTGTTCTCAGACTTATTTGCTCAACTATATTGGTAACATGCCTAAAATTATCTGGGACCATGCTTGAATTAGTTGTATTATAAGTTGTATTAGTTGTATTGTAAGCAGGTGTGAAATGTTTGCTTCATTGGAACAAGTTGTGTGAATAAATACTTGTATTAGATTTCTAGCTCTGATTCTTGGTATGTAATTTCATGACCATATTTTATCCTAGAATTCTCTATCGAATTATCCACTTGCTACTATAACTAATCATATTGTAGTTCTAGTAATAGAAATTGTATTACTAATATTATCTTCATATTTTCACAAACATATGCTAATATAAAATGAATTCACTACACTATATTTTAACCTTGTCATTAGTAACCTTTAAGCTTACAAGCTTACTAAATTTGTTTTGAATTGTGCAACTATCTGACACTTGTGCCTATTACGTGCAGATCTTCTCCACGTATTTCATTATTTATTTAATATTTTCAAGGATTATATAAGATTTAAACGAGTTTTTAGTGATTTTGCTTAGTAGCGGTCTGTGTATCTCAGTACAATCACATTTATCTTTTCCCTTCATTTCTCTTTCATTAACAGTTGACATTCAAAGCGAACTCTTGTTAAATGTATGATCCTTCTTATTCGCTCCATACATTGATAGTCAAATGTATAAACTAGAGGCTATAGTGGATTATTGCTTCAAATTACGGATTAATATTTTGAGGAACAGAAAGACGGTTTTCATATATGTCAGGCTAAAGGAAGAAGAACAGCCATAAATAGTAGAAGCAGGACCAAAAAATGGCATTTAAAGCAGACATTAGCTTTACAAGGTTATAGCATCTGTTTTAGTTTGGATCATAATTGTTAGTTATATTTCAGGAAAAAAAGTCTAAAAATTAAACAATAACAGTAGCTATTTAGAAAAGTAGTAGATGTTTACAGAGTTGATGACAAATATTTGATTCTACAGACAGTTACTAAGATTGAAACTTCTTCCAAAGAGCAACAGAAGTATATTCTACAGCTTTCGTGTACTGTTACACAGGCTTCTAAATTGTTCTACCCTGTTCTTCCAGTTCTTTTTTATTCTTCCAGTTTTCTTCTTGTTTGACTCTCTTCAATTCTACCCAAGTAATTGTTTCAAATACTTTATTAACACAGTAGTGCAAGCCATTTTTTGGTGCATTTTTTGCTTGTTTATTATTGATGCAGCCCTATAGTATATGTTTTCTCTATATGTAAATAAACAGTTGCAAGACTTCCATGTTAAAATCTTGCCTGTTGTCATCCACTGAAGATTCAAGCTAACATTAATTTCACGCTTGAAAATTCTAAAATAGAAGTCTCACTAAAATAACTGTCAAAGGCACAGAAAATGAAAATATTGTGAAAAATAAGTTGTAGATAGAAGTATGGTATTTAATTGAAATGAACAATCATAATTCAACTGTATCTCATGGTTAAGTTTTACTGGGCAAATAAAATGTATGTTATACATTTTTTAAAATTTCTCTTTACATTCTGCTTGCTTTGTGAAAGTTTAAGGACAAATGTGTCATTTACACTAATTCCTTACTGATAGATTTTTAACCAGTTACGAATATTTTATATGCTCAGGCTTTTAAATGCTTGAATTGTCATACTTCCAAGAAGGTCACAGATGACTTTGGAAACTGAGTCCTTACTGGAATCAGTTGCATAAAAATGCTTATTACTGATGCTAAAAAATGGTACAATGTCCAGCACTTGCATGCAAACAAGATTTACATATTCTATTACAGTCTAGAAAACTCTGGTTTAAAGAAATATCTAATGCTAAAGGTTTGGAAATGAGATGTAATTATGGAGTGTTGGGAACAGTAAGAAAGGAGCTTGTGAATGAATATTGGGAATAGTTTACATGAAATGTGAGAATTATAATCTATGGAATTATTTCCCATTGAACACAGTGGTAGAGATGTCACTTGTTATTTTAAATCTTGAATGGTATTTGCAAGGAAGTAAAATTATACTAATGCTGGGCTTTAAATTCTTCAGTTATGTAGTGCTGAAATTTTCCCCTCTGTTTTAATCTTTTATTTTTTTAGTGAATTATTTTGTTTTCTTTATTAATACTGAGAATACTGTTGTATAAACTCAGAATTAAATCGGGGCATTAACCACCTGTTTCTTCTTACAGGTACTGCTCCCAGCAGCTGGTCTCTTGCAACTGCAGGATGTGAAAAGGACTTGCTGTGAATTTTTGGAATCCCAGCTTCATCCTATCAACTGCTTGGGGATTCGTGCTTTTGCTGACATGCATGCATGCACAGATCTCTTGAACAAGGCCAACACATACGCAGGCAAGTTATCATTAGTATAGCATATAGCTTGATATCTCTGTGTGTGTACACACACACACAGGTTCCATGCTCACCCAACCCCACCCAGAGGAAACCATGCATTTGATATACCAGTTATACCAGTTATAATAAGCACAAAGGGGCAGCATCTTCATGGCCTGTCAGGGCCATACAGGACCCCAGCAATTTGTAATCCAATAGGAAGCTAGCTTGTTTTTTAAAATTTTGCACCATCACTTAGGGGGGGAAATCAGGAAAGAATTAAAATTCTGGCAACAGTCACAAGGCAAAGTCTGTAGGAAGTACATGGGGCAAGAAAGAAGACAAGAGCATGACAGGGGGCTTATCTATAGCTCCTGTACTGCACTAAGAAGCAAGAAACATACCATGAATATTGTGTTATCAGCTTGTCTTCTGAAAATCCTACTCATCTAGTCCAAGACTTGAAATTTCCTACTATAAAGGGTACCTGTAGACTAATTCTTCTACCTTGACACAAAGTAGATAGAGGTGCATCTTCTAACTAACCATATAGCTTAACCAACAAAATTCTACTTTCCTTGTAAAGAGCACTTGCAGTTGGATTTTCTCTTTTTTTTCCTGAAAAAACTGTTCATGGAATTCTTAATTTTATTACTAAAAGTATGTTGTCATGGTCATCTTAAAGACTGTGTTATTCATATTTGTAAGAGGACTGGCTTATGTCAGGTTTTGATATTATTGAAAATTAGGCTCTTGTTTTGCTTGCTGCTGTTAATGAAAAAGCAATTCTGATTCTATAGCACTACTACTAACAGTAGTGCTATATGGGAGTAACAAGGAAGAACAATTATTCCCTTTTTTTTGATGCTGGTAAGGCCTCAGGTAGAAAGATGCCACCTACAGAGGGTGGAAGCAAGGACAGATAGCCTGGGAGGAATACAGAGAGACTGTCTGAGCAGCCAGAGATCAGGTCAGGAAGGCCAAAGCCCTGATAGAATTAAATTTGGCCAAGGATATCAAGGGCTACAAAAAAAGCTTCTATAGTTACGTTGGTCAAAAAAGGAAGACTAAGGAAAATGTGGGCTCTCTCCAGAGGGAAACAGGAGACCCGGTTACCCAGGATATGGAGAAGGCTGAGGTATTCAATGACTTTACCTCAGTCTTCACCAGCAAGTGCTCCAGCCACACTGTCCAAGACACACAAGGCAAAGGCCAGGGACTGGGAGAATGAAGAACCACCCACCGTATGAGAAGAGCAGGTTTAAGACCATCTAAGGAATCTGAAGGGGCACAGGCACATAGAATCTGATAAGATGCATCCACAGGTCCTGAGGAAACTGGAAGATGAAGTGGATAAGCCACTATCCATCCTAATTGAGAAGTCTTGGCAGTCTGATGGAGTTCCTGCTGACTGGAAAAGGGGAAACATAACCCTCATTTGTAAAAAGGAAAATAAGAAGACCCAGGGAACTACAGGCTATTCAGTCTGAGCATTCTGCCCCCCAGCAAGATCATGGAGCAGATCCTCCGGGAAACTACACTAGGGCACATGGGAAATAAGGTGATTGGTGACAGCCAACATGGCTTCACTAAGGGCAGATCATGCCTGACAAATTTGGTGGCCTTCTATGATGGGATAACAGCATTGGTGGAGAGCAGCTGACATCATCTACCTGGACTTGTGCACAGCTTTTGATGCTGTCCTACACAACATCCTTGTCTCAAAATTGGAGAGACATGGATTTCATGGATGGACCACTTGGTGGATAAGGAATTGACTGGGTGGGTGCACTCAGAGTTACAGTCAACGGCTCCCTGTCCAAGTGGGGAGCAGTGGTGAGGGGCATTCCTCAGGAGTCAGTTTAACATCTTTGTTGGCAACATGGACGGTGGGATTGAGCACAGCCTCAGCAAGTTTGCCGATGACACCAAGGTTGGTGATGCAGTTGACATGCTGGAGGGAAGGGATGCCATCCAGAACGACTTAGACAGGATTGAGAGGTGGGCCTGTGCAAACTTCATGAAGGCCAAGTGCAAGGTCCTGCACATGGGTCAAGGCAATCCCATGTACAAATACAGGCACGTATTGTGGGCAACAGTCCAGTATTGTGGGCCACAGATAAGTGGATTGAGGGTAGCCCTGCAGAGAAGGACTTGGGAGTAGTAGTGGATGGAAGACCATGAGCCAGCAATGTGCACTCACAGCCCAGAAGGCCAACCATATCCTGGGCTGCATCAAGAGAAGTGTGGCCAGCAGGTCGAGGGAGGTAATTCTCCCCCTCCTCTGCTCTCATGAGACCCCACCTGGAGTACTGTGTCCAGCTCTGGGGCCCCCAATATAAGAAAGACATGGACCTGTTGGAGCAAGTATAGAGGAGGGCCATGAGGACAATAAGTGGGCTGGAGCACCTCCCTTATGAGGACAGGCTGAGGGAGTTGGGGTTGTTCAACCTAAGAAGAGAAGGCACCAGGGACACCTTATAGTGGCTTCCCAATACTTAAAGGGGGCCTACAGGAAAGATGGGGAGGGACTGTTTTATCAGGGATAAGGGGTAACAGGTTTAAGATGAAAGAGGGTAGATTTAGGTTAGACATAAGGAAGAAGTTCTTTCCTTGAGGGTGGTGAGACACTGGCACAGTTGCCCAGAGAAGCTGTGGCTGCCCCCTCCCTGGCAGTGTTCAAGGCCAGGTTGGACGGGGCTTTGAGCAACCTGGTCTAGTGGAAGGTGTCCCTGCCCATGGCAGGGGGATTGGAACTAGATGATCTTTAAGGTCCCTTCCAACCCAAACCATTCTGTGATTCTGTGAAAAATGCTGAACAAACTTTAAGATAGGTGCAAACAGTCTGAAGTGAATCCAAGGAAATCTAACATGAATATATTAAGAAAATAGGCTGACTGAAGGGAGTCCTTTCAGTCAAGAAACTAAAAGGCTAGGAGGATGAAAAGGAATGAATAAGCTTAACTTGTGAGGTATTTTTAAAGTCGTTTCAGATATTAAGGAAAAATCTAGCTCTTTAAAAATAACACAGATCAGGTAAGCTGTCTGTGGAAGTTATGGACTCTCCACTGTTAGGCAATTTTAGAAAAACTGATTAGACTAACTTTTGATTTAGGTTGATCTAAATCATGCCTATGTACAAAACTAGATAATTTTAAGTTATTTCTAGCTTACATTTGTGCAATTCTGTGAAGGCTAAAATCCCTTTTTTTCTTTATATTCAAAATACATTTTCTGTTGGAAACTGACATACATGTAGTTTCAGACAGTGTATTACTAAATGGATAATTTTTAACATAATGGATTAAAACCTTGTTTGACTGCTCTTGGTGCCAAAAAGGACGCAAAATGTAGATTACTAAAAAGCAAACAAAACATTGTGTAAGTTTCTTGCATAACACTATAACCAAAACTAAGACTTGTCATTTGTTCAGGTGGCAATGATCTTACTGTTCTTGTGTGTAGAGTGCCTGGGGGACTTGATGTTTGAGTTGAGACAGAAGATGGTACATTGAGGAATTACTTTTTAAGGGAAGTTTTTTGTAGTAAACAGAAACACTTCTTTTATAGGGCTTAACTTACTAGTCAGCGAAGTAGTGTGTTGGAGAACGGCTTGCAGAGAGCAAGGCCATAGCTCCCTGCAGGAGCTGGTCGGCCATAGCTCCCTGCAGAAGTCGGTCCCAGCCACCTGAGGTAAACAAAGGAAAGAACCCAGGGTACAGTTATGTAAACAAGGATGAAGATCCAGGGCTCAGTTGTGCTAGCAAGGATTGTTGTGAGAACACAGAGATAAGTTGGGGCGCATTACGACCTTGGGGGTGAAGAGAAACAACCCTGGGAGAGAAGCAGGTTCACAGCAAGAAAGATGTTTATGCATACCAGAGATGCCACAAGGGGCTGGGATATTATAATGTGACCTTTTAGATGTACCCAATGGCTGAGATATTATAATATATTTTCTTAAATGTATCCAATAGAGTTGCAAGTAGTGTATTGTAGATTGCTTATATAAGGTGTGATTTCTATCAATAAAGTTGAGGCTTGCTCTATCATTCACATTGAATCGGCTGCTTGCTTCCTCCGCCCGCTGCAGTAGTGTATTTTGATTAGAGCCTGGGCATCAAACATTCAGAGAGTAGGACCAATTTATTTGGCAATTCAGAACTCATGGGTTGTCAGAGGTTGAGAGTGACTCTCGGGTATGCCTCCTTACATGCACCTTGCACTATCTGCCCAGTCACAGATCTTTTCCTGTCTTTTCAGTGTCTCTTGGATGTTTCATTTTTACTTCAGGTTCAGCAAAACTGAATTGCTTTCTGTCTAGACATTCTTCCTTTCTTCCTGTATTCTTCTCTCACTGGTGACTGCAAACCTGACAGCTTTAACTCTCCTCCGCCATTTTCTCTCAACTACTCAGTTGTGTGTTCCTGTATTTTGTTTCTTCTTTCCCTACCAAATCTGTTATACATCATGTTTCCCTTTTGCTGCAATGTAAATCTGTCTCTGCTACAACTTCTTCTCTGTCTGCTAAGGTCATTTTACTACTCTTGTAATATTGCTTTTCCCATGAATCAAATTCCAGCCTCTCATCCTTGACTTTTCCAGTTCAGCAGAATTACCCTCACTTGATTCTTTTATTTCATATCTCTCTCTACTACTTTTGTGCTTGGAACTAACCTTCTCTTTCCTCTGTAATCAAACAGTCTTCCATTTCTGTCAGATTCCTCCAGAAAGCACTTTCCTTGTCTATGCTTCCTTTTTTGTCACTGGATTCTTGGAGTCCTGCTGGCCTGTACCATGAGCTGCCAGCTCAACTCCTACTGTGTTTTTGCCATATCTGTGTGGTGAATTTTAAAGCAATGCACACTCTGTTCTTACTCTTAAGATAAATATGCTGTGCATAGTCAGAGTGTGAGCTACTTCATTGCATTGCACTCTGTGCTGCATTCCTTAATCCTTAGCACTCTGTCAGGCTTAGGATGAGAGCAATACAGAAAAGAGAATTCAAAACTAAATAT